AAATAGCTGTAAAATGGCTTAGGTGGTAATGAATTAGAATCAAAGTAACGTCCTTTCTTAATCAAAATAAATAATTGAAGGAAATCTAGCATGCAAAAAATAGGCATATCCCACATTTTTGTATGTATATGTATGGGATCTGTAAAAAAAATATCTTTGTACCAAATCCCATGTAAATTAGCAGAAATAAGGCAAAGTAATTGTTAAAACAAAACCTAAAATTATGCTTTTTGTGACATCTTCACCCCCCCCCCCCTATAATTACTAAAAATGAGCAAGTCCCTCATTTTTGTTTGCCAATGTGTGGGACCTGTAGAAAAGTATCTTTGTACCGAATCCCACGTAAGGTGGTCAAAATATGGTTGAGTAATTGACCAAAAGCCTCAAAATTATTCTTTTTTCTGAGCTCTGACCCCTCTGAAAAAACAAACAAACTCAAAATAGGCAAATCCAGCTTTCTTGTATATCAATGTGCTGGGTGCATGAAAATTTATATTTGTGCCAATTTTCATCTTGATTGCTGTAAATATGACAACATACACAAGAGCCCACAATATACATTTTTAGGTTGTATGACCTTTGATTCTATTAAATCCTTAAAAAGGCCTAAATAAAAAAAATTAAAAATTGTCTGGGCATATTTAACCAAGGTATAACCCTATCAAGTTTTAAGTCAATCCGTTGAAAAATGAAGGAATGGTAGTTGATTGAAAAGTGTTTGGAAGAAGAAACAATAGGAAAACATCATGTCTCTCTACAGAGACAACTATTCTCTGCATATGAAGTAATGATGTTCAGGTTTACTTTTACATTCTTCACAGTATATAGCTAGAATCATGATAATTTTAAAATCTTGAAAATATGACCTGGCTTAAAACATATAAATGGCACAGATGCACCAAATAAACTACATGTGCAAGCCATTTTAAGTCTTTGTTAAAGTACTTTCTCTCTTTACAATAAAAAAAAATCAAAGTTTTCTCAACATTCTCTGTCAGATGACAATTTAAAGGAATGCTTCAGCACAAAATATTTAAAAAATTAGAATATCTCATTTTAATGCAGTGGTTATGTGGACATTTTCACAAGCTCCTTTGCCATTATTCTGTGTTTTTTGAATCAGACTGCTAACAATCTTTTGTTTATGTTTTAATCAAGTTTTTTTTTTTCAACTACTCTAGTAATTTTTGTTTTAATTTAAACACATTCATATTTGTAATCAAACAAAGTAAATGGATTAAATACATATTATCAAGTAAGCCAGAAAGCAAATCTGTTGATAATATCATAACTCTTAAATTTAAGAAGCATCTAAAACATGGTGTTAAATGCCTCAAACTAGATAATTTTTGTAAAAAATTAATCACGTTACTTCAATACTTTCAGTATTTGTATATGTACTAACTTGAGCAGCATGGTTTATAGCCATACTAAGACTACATCTAACTTAACACTGTGAAACAATACAACATTTTAATATTTATTAATGTAACATGAATGCTAGCAATATCCTATCCTACCAAACTTTATGTGGCTCTTAGTCCTACCATTCTCACCATTAAGCACAAAAACAAGATTATGCACTATCAATTCATTTAACAATCTTAAACACCTTAATATATCCCCTGTAACTTCTTTCACAAGAAAACAATTTCAGAAATCTTAATCTTTACTTGTATGACAACCTATCCATAGTACTCAGTGGTGGTAAGAAAGACAATGGAAAAAAAGACAAAGAAAATTACACAGGTAAAAATGTCAAAACAAAATAATTCCATAACTCCTATATTTTAGGAATGGTATAAAATGACAAATTAATAACAGCTTAATTATTAACTCAGTTGGTTTACTTGGTTTCAATAACTGACTTAGGCTTGGCTTAGTTGTTATTGATACTGTATTTCAATATACTTTTTTGACTTTTTTACCTGTTTGTGTAATTTTCTTTGTATTTTTTCCCAATTGCCTTTTTTTCTGATTGCTTTTTTCCCCTTGTCTTTATTACCTAAATTCCCTGGTACTACTAGTAGTAGTAGCCGTCCTCTGAATATTTTCTGACAATTCATTATCCATCCTATGGTAAGAAGCCCAAGATTGAACACAATACTCAAAATGATCTATACAATGAAATTATATCCTCTTTAGACTTGTAAGTTGTATTTAATATTTCTGTAGATACAACCTAAAATCCTATATACCCTACCACTAAAAGCAACACATTGCTTAGATGATTGATCAACTATAACACCAATATCCTTTTCTTCCGTAACACTGTAAGTATTAAGCCTTAAAGTTACTCCCATTGAAATTCTACTCGTAATTCAAATTATAATATCCTGTGTACATTATCTTGCACTTATTATAATAAAGCCATCTATTATTTATTTTTGTGTAATTCACTAAATAACCTAAATCCTTATGTAAATCAGCAGCAGCATCCTACTCACAGCTAAATCTGTAAATGTAAGTCTTGGTGCAATAATATTTTTGTAATTGAATTGCTTGAAGGTGCTACCACTTACCAATACCAGGTAATTGCAAGTGTTTTACTTAAAACTGAAAATGAAACAAGTATATATCTAATTTCCAAACATCAAAGATACAGCATCCTAATCTCAATGTTGGTTTAACTTTATTGATTAAATTCCATGTAGGATAGGCATTCTTAAATTCATGTCCAAAACTAACACTAATAATAGTAAATAACACACTGAATTGGACTTGAGGCTTTTAGTTTTAATTTTTATAATTTAGAAGTCCAAATATTAATACAACTACAAGTAACCCTTCAGAGTCTAAATATGTAGTATTAATAATATTATAGTCACCATTAAGATACAATCATCTTAAATAGTTAATGCTAATACTAACTAATAGCAATAATACTAATAAAGTGCTAACTTGTAAAATTATAATTTTTTATATCACGTATGTATCAGTTAATAACAGTACAGCTGATACTGTGATAATATTAGTAATATTTATACTAAAAGTAATACGTATCAGCCTTACTATACTATAGTATTACTATTAGCAAGGCTGGTAAGTATACGCTAATGCTGATTTAAACTAAGTACGAGTTGAGCAATAATATCGCTTTAGCATGCTATCATGATATATTTTTAAACACTTTTATGTTTACAATAAATATAATTAATCTTTGTTTCCTTATCAATAATAATATTTAATTGTTTTTACCTTATCAAAAATATCGCAAAACAAAATCCATTATATTTATGCCGTAATATTATTTAGCGACCCCTTGGTGAAACTGGTAGTACTATTTACATTTTGAGAATATCCTGCA